GCCGCGACCGGTGAGTGAGGCCCGGCCCTTGGGATTTCTTTGTCCTCTAATGGGTACCTGGCAGCTGTCCTGTTCAGTCACCAGCCGGCTCTCTATCCCGCCCCAGCACCTCGGTCCTTGGCCCTGGTCCACGCTTCATGGCTTGGTCTTGTCCACCTGTACCCTCTTTTTCCACTACAGGGGACCCTCTCTGATGCTTACTACTGCCCACCTCCAAGACGCACACCGAATACAAGCCTAGCTGGACCTAACAGGATTTTTTTCTTTCCTTGTTAATCAAGGGATTCTTTGTTATGTAACCACAAACACACAGGCGCACAGGAAGTTAGGGTGACTGCATAAGGTACACAGCACCTTTAAAAGGAGCTATTGTGCTGCCTTTGAGAATGTTTTCACGTAAAACAATAACTTTGTAATGTTCCGTAGGAAAAAATAACAGCCCACAGTCTGTGCCAGCGTGCTGATCACAACCATGTGAAAATAGCAGACACGGAGAGCACGTCCCACGGCCGTGTGGTTAGAATAGAGTGTTCCAGCATGGGTTTTTTAAAATTTTTTTTTTCTATTTTGTTCTGTTCCTCATTGTTCAAACTTTCTTAAATGGCAAGCATTTCTTATGTTTCCTCTGTTTCTTTTATAATCAGAGAGAAACAGAAAAACGCAATGTCTTCCCCCTACCTGCCATCTGTCCTCCCAGTTCCCCCAGCAACTTCCTTCATTTCTGATCGTGAGGAAGTGGCAGTTGCCCCCTCTGGGTTTGTGTTTGTGTTTTGTCTTTTTGAGACAGGGTCTCCCTGTGCAGTTCAGGCTGGCCTTGAGCTCACTTTGTAGCCCAGGCTGGTCTCCAACTCACAACAATCCTCCTGCCTCAGCTTCCCGAGTGCTGGGATTACAGGCGTGCGCCACCATGCCCGGCTTTTTTTGTTTTTGTGTTTGTGTTTGTGTTTGTGTTTAGTTGCCCCCCCTGGAGATGGAGGGAGCAAACCGCAGGCAAGCCCAGCCCCGCACATGCAGTCGGGCCGCCTTGCTGAGCCCTTCCCTTCTGCGGCCTCCTGTGCCTGTCTCACAGGGGCCCTCAGCGCCCTGCAGATGTGGAGAGGCCCGCCCTGAGGGTCAGCCTGGGCGCCAGCTGCCGAGGGGCCCCATTCAGTCCTGGCCGTCGCCCCAGAGGGGAGCTGTCCCCACCCAGGCCCCAACTCCATGGCCATGCCTGGTTTCTGCATGCATTCAGGGTTCCCCACAGAAGCACAGAAACATTCACACCCTGGGGGTGAGCTGCTGTTTTTATCCCCCGCTCAGCTATGTTTTCCTCATGGTGGGTCGCAGGTGAATCTTAGCGTCCACTACACAAAAAGGGCAGCAAAGGGGCCTGGCCTCACCTTCCTCTCTGTCAACTTTCTCTACCCTCCCTTCTCACACCTTTTCTTTGTTACTTTGCTTTTTTGTTTGTTTGTTTGTTTGTTTGTTGGTCTTTTTGAGGCAGGGTTTCTGGCCTTGAACTCACTGTGTAGCCCGGGCTAGTCTCAAACTCATGATGATCCTCTTGCCTCAGCCTCCCAAGTGCTGGGATTATGGGCATGCGCCACCACGTTTCGCTCATCTGCAACTTTATTCATGTTTATCATCCAGAATTTCTTTTTAAGCCCATTTTGTTTGGTTTTGAGACAGGGTCTTGCTATGCAGTCCAGGCTGGCCTTCAACTCACTATGTAACCCAGGCTGGCCAGGACTTCATGGCAATCCTCCTGCCTCAGCCTTCCAAATATTACAGGTGTGTACCAGCACTCCTGACTTAAACCCATATTTTTATAGTGAAATGAAATATAGGTATGTTATGGAAAGTTTCCTGGAAAAACTAGAAAAAAAGAAAAACCTGAAAACCCCATCTTTTGACCCAATGAGGACCATTGTTTATAATGTGGGCACTTGCTGGCATAGCTGAGGCCCTGGGCAAAGTCTTCAGCACTGCAGAGCGAAGCAAAGCAAGAAACCCCCGACATACGAAGCACACATCCCCTCCCTGCAGCTTGAGTGCGTGTGTGGCTCAAGGCTGTGGTCAAGAGTGGCTGCAGAATTCTTTTCCAAAACTGGGCGTTGGACCTAGGGCCTCATTCATGTCAGGCAGCCGCAGAATTCTTGGCTGTCACTTTCCTGTATCCAAGTTACGCTGTGATCCTTTACCTTGTGGCCGCGCAACCTGCCCAGTTCCTCATTTTAATGGTTATTTGATGCTTGCTGGTGAAAGCGCTGTAACAAAATTAATCATCCTTAACGGGTCATTTGGGTTCCTGACACATTTTACTGTTGTGAATAATCCCGTTATGAGTTTTTCCATGTTATAAGAGTTTCCTGCTTTTAATAGTTTTCTTAGGAGAGGCGCCCAGGGGAGATTATTAGGTCAGAGGAAGGAGCACTCTCGGCCGCTGGTGCGCACTTCCCAGTGGCCGCAGAGCTGTGGCAGCCGTGTGTGCTGCCGGCCAGCAGGACAGCACGGGCCGGGCTCTTCTGCACGACCCAGCGGCCTGGCTCCTATGGCCTGAGGGGCTCGTGAGGGCTTTTGCTTCTGTGATGACAAAAGCAGAAGGGCTCCTTCAACCTGTATGTGCTCATCTCTTCTCCTAGCACCCCAAGAAGTTGAGAAAGAGGAGCCCCCCAGCCCCCCAGAAGTCAGCACAGAGGCCCCGGAGCCCCCCAGCCCCCCAGAAGCCAGCACAGAGGCCCCGGAGCCCCCCGAAGAGCCGCTCCTGGGGGAGCTGACGGTGACAGAGGCGTCCCCAGACTCCCTGGGCCTGTCCTGGACGGTGGCCCGGGGCCACTTCGACGCGTTCAGCATCCAGTACAAGGACGAGGCGGGGCGGCCGCAGGTGCTGCGAGTGGGGGGCGAGGCGCGGGAGGCCACCGTGCGGGAGCTGGCCCCGGGGCGCAAGTACAAGCTGAACCTGTACGGGCTGGGCCCGGCCGGGCGCGTGGGCCCGGTGTCCGCCGTGGCCGCGACCGGTGAGTGAGGGGCGGGCGGGGAGGGAGGGAAGACCAGCTCTAAAGCAGAGTCCTGAGCCACACAAACAAGGAAATGCCAAGACCCCAGTCAAGGGAGGGCAGGGACAGTGTGGCTCATGGCCATGCTCAGAAGCTGGAGCGTGGGGGGTGAGAGGTCATGTGGGCATGGGCAGGGTCAGGGTCAGGTGCAGGAATGGCGGGCAATGCCAAGGAGCAGAGGCGGCGGCAGCGCCCCTGTGG